ATGAATGTCAAGTATTATTATTTGATTGACTGCAGCCACCTGATGCTAGGAAAATGTTCTGGGTTCATAGTAGGGATTGTTGTTGAGTCTATAAAAAGAAATCTGGACGGGGCTCTTATTTGTCACTGAGGCATTGTTTCTGCAGATGTTTCTGTTGGTGAGATGTTCAATCTAATAGGTGTAAAGATGTACTTAGTAGGTCATTCTTACTTAGGATCAGGGAAAAGCTGCCCCCAGACACACACAATTAGCACAGCTGACTGGTTATTTGCTCACTAGGAAAAAAAAAAAGATCATCTAACTCTCTAATCACTCATCCATTTAAACAATTAGATGCTTTGCCTCAGAATGTGCATTCTCTTAAGAAATTATGATGTGCACCTTTTAAATGGGAAGGGGAGGCAGTCTGCTAGATTAAACATTGAACAGTGCTAAATTTGTAAAAGAAGGGCAACATTCATTACGTCTCCTGACTTAGCAATCTTTCCATGCCATCCAATCCTATGGTTTGTGGTGAAAGAAAAGGGTTCTTCAGAGGTTTTAAATGCCTTTGACAACAAGCAAACAAAAGAAAGAAAATAAACTTCAAAAAGATTGTACAGTATGAAGAAAAAAACAGGGCAATGGTGTGAAGCTTACAAACTAAATCTGGCTAATATAGCAATAGCACTTAGACTTATAAACCACTTCACAGTGATTACAGCCCTTTCTAAGCGGTTTACAGAGTCATCATATTGCCGCCAACAATCTGGGTCTTCATATGCAATAGAAAGGAATAAGTCGGGCTCCCTGACAGGAACAAGCTTGTTGTTAATAATAAAAAAAAGCTTGGAACACGAAACTTTTGTAACTCCCCCAAAGGCAACATTACATGTGGTCACTTATTTTTGGCTACACATGAGGTACCAAAAAGCATTCAGTATAGGTCAGTGATGGCAAATTATGACACATATGTCAAAGGTGTCATGGCATGATGATTTGGATGACATGGCAGTGTTCAACATCTGCCAACAACTATTTTCAAAAGAATGCCTATTCTTCTGCAATTTTTGGAGGCTGTGGCCACTGGGTGAAAATGGTGTGTACTCATGTGCAACCTCCAGAGCACAGGTCTTCAAACGTGGCAGCTTTAAGACTTGTGGACAGTTGGCTGGAGAATTCTGGGAGTTGAAGTCCACAAGTCTTAAAGCTGCCACGTTTGAAGACCTCTATTCCAGAGCATCTGAAAATCGCACAAGAATATGCTTTCACATGGTTTTCAGACCATGGAACATGCTTTCACATGGTTTTCAGACCGTGGAAGATCATTCTCTGAAGCTACTACAAAACTAAAGGCCTTGTGCAAAGCAGCCTTGGATAGCCCTCAGGGTCCTGTCAAAAGAAAGAGAATACCACCTAAAGATAAGCGGCACAGCAGATCCTGAGAACTGGGCCACAGGCCGATTATATCATTTTCTGAGATTAATGTGCAGGGGGAATGTGAGGCAATATTTTGAGTGATAGCAGTGGCACTAAGGCTGAAATTGAGGCCCAGGTTTCAGTTGCTTCCACCAAGTATTGCTGTTCAAGGTGGCCTAGATGGAGTGGTGAGAGATAAGTTTTTTCACTTTTGTTCAGTGAGGGAGAGATGGAACACACCATCAGAGTCAGGTTAAGCATTTTCTGAATTTTTGACATGCCAAGCCCAAAAGGCTTTTCAGTGAATCTCTTCAGCATATTATTTATGAAGGTTGAACTTACTTCGAAGAATTCAAGATTGCTTTACCTTTTTGTCTTTAACTTTACCAGTTATCTGTAACTATATTATTATAAAATATTGCTCTCTTTTTCTTCTAATCCCAGGACTTTCTCTTTCATTCTCATGAAAGTATCCATCTGTACAAAGATACATACAATTCTGAATTTTCTAGTTGTGGGCCATTCTTTTCCGGATAACATACCATGGCTATGCTGTGGTGCTATCACAAATTTGAAATATTCCTTTAGGAAACTTTCTAAGATCTTTCTCTTAGAGCAGGGTGTCAAACTCGATTTCATTGAGGGCTGCATCAGGGTTGTGTTTGACCTCCGGGGACCAGGATGGGCATCGCCAGCTCAATGTCACTTGTGTCGGGGGGCCCTGTGGTGGCCTGAGTGCTCTGCCAGCAAAACAGGCTCCTAAGCTCCGTTTTCGGCTGCAACGGTCTCCTGCAACCTTCTACCAGCAAAAACAGAGTTTGGGAGGACTGCACTTCCATAGACAACTGTTGGGGAACTCTATTTCCCTGGTAACTGGAATATTCAGAACTATAGTCCAAAATGTTCGGAGAAACATCAGACTGTGGAAAGTTGGCCTCTCTTCTATTTCTTAATAATAAAAAAAAATAGCACTGATGGCCTGGCAAATTTGTTTCCGTCACACCTGCTTGACCCTGGTTTTCCAGCAATTTATTTAAAGGCCTACAGCTAGAGATATAGAGAATTCACTCAGTTATTCTTTCATGTTTTTTCCCTTATAATTCCATTTTTTACCATATTTTCTAAGGGTTCTACTTATGCTTCTGAATAATTACTTTCTTCTGCCAAAGTGGCATTTGAAGAAAATCAAAAATAAAACCATTACTGCATTAAACCACAGTCTTGACAACTCCAGATAGTAGATGGTCCTAGTCTAGATAAACAAAAACAAAAGGCAGCTTCATATTTTATAGGAAATTCTCTTGCCTTTTTAATAGCACCCATAAAACAACTCTTGACATTTGTCTGCCCTCCTCCTTACCTATATCACAGTTCCAAAGGAAGAGATATATAAAAACAAAATTTAGCAAATGCACCTTCCCTAAGCTTTCAGATGCACTATTGTGTGCAATATTTAATGGTAACATGTGTTGTCAACATTTAGGAAAGAATTTCTATAATTCTAGCAATTAGAAGCATCATATATCATTAGATTTGGTATTTATATAATTAAAATAAAACAAATGTGTTGACTGCTTAAAAGGGTTTTTTTTCCCAGTGACAACAAATTATGTCTTGACTCCATCCCCTTTCTAACTGTTTTCACTTAGTATTTCTTTTGCATTGTAAATCAATTTATTTTTGCAAAATGTGGCTGGTGTTTGGGTACAAATTCCATCTTTGAGTGTATTCAAGCAACCTCTGTGGACTTCAGTAGCTGCTGATCACATGTCTGCCTCATGGCAAAATCTTATTTGTGAAGTGCTTATGTTTGATCTGCTACAGTGGTAATGCACTGAAGAAAGCTTCAGTGCATTGTGTACAGTAGAAGCTAAATTTTCACGCTTTCCATGTAGGATGCAAAACATTTGGGCCAACACCTTTGCAACAATAGGGCATAAGGATTCATTAGCCAATGTGGAATTGCAGACAATGTGTGTGTGGCGGGTGGGGGGGTGGAGATCAATTTTTTCATGGATCTTTCTGGAAAGCTACTTGATCCCTATAAATAAAAGAAAACTTCTGGCACTGTATTATTTTAAAAAATGTTTTAACAAAGGAGTAGACTTTTATTTGACTCCTACCTCACTTTTTTTTCTTTGTATTATTTCAGGATTTTTTTCCCTTCCAGCTGTGTTTTTGGCCTTAAAAAAATTACCCATTTACAGGAATGTATGAAGAAATCCTACACAGGGAATTGTTTCTTGGGCTTATATTTTAATTGATTCTTTTTCCTTTCTTTAATAAAAATATATCAATTACACACTTTATGGCTACTACTTTTGAGGCTATTGCCCTCTTCTATATTATTTTGGGGTTTTTTGGGTTGGGTTGGATTTTTGTTTTGTTTTTTAGTATTGACTGATCAGCTGCCTCAGGTAGTACCTATGCTTGTGCTAAATTCAAGTCCGCACTTTGAGCAAACATATCAAATATTTTATGTGGGTTAATCTGTCTCATCAATATTGTCCTTCTTTTCTGACAAAAACTTTCCAGAATCTCAGACAATCTTCTGCTAGACAGGTACTTTTCATGAAAATGCCAGAAGTTAAATTTGTTCCCCTATTTAAAGTAAAAGATGTTATTGAAAAATGGGTTTAGAAACTACTCAGCCTAAGCAGCTGAAAGATATTTGCTTTTGGAGTTATACTGCCATTGATTACTCACAGACTTGAGAATTACTGATGCAGCCATCAATCTACACTCACTACATGGTTTTTAAAATAGAAAGGTAGCAATAAGATAATGAATGATTCAAGGTTGCTTGTCTTCTTGGAACAAGTTTCTTTTCTCCAAAGGGATAGTCATGAAATGTTATGAAAACAAAACATTCTTAATCACTTATTTTCAAAACATCATATATTGTCCATGCCAATTGGGGCTGCTGGAAGTTGTGAATGAGCATATTTTAAATGGCTGTATCTTATTTATTCCTGGTCTATGGCCATCACATGTACAGAGACCTGTGCTGTATAAACTCATTTTAATAAGGCTTTATGTCTGGAGAGGGACCATTTATGGAATCACCAGAAATTGGATAACTTCTGAATCAAGGTGTTGAGAGCTTTATTGGATTATCTCAGAAACAATGCATAGTTACTCTCTTCTTTTGCTGATTTTTAGCATTAGCTGGTATCATAGGAACACACAGAAAAAAAGACCAGAAGTTGCTTTCAGCACATGCTTAATGCTCTTAGAGAAAAATAACGAATTCATATATGAGCATTATATTCTGCAGACCTCAAGGCAATCACCTTTTCCCCTCATTCCCTCCTTTGTTAATTATATCTTATAAAAACAGCACCCTCTAAACCCAGATGTTCATATTCTAATACTAACATTCTGCAGTTCATCTTTACAAAGCTAGCTAACACATGTTTTAAGAGTTATTGTACTATATATAACAGCCTTGCCTAAGAGAATAGAGTCCTGCTACATTTAGAAAATGCAGGTGCTATGTAAGCTCCCTTTTGAAAGCAAGGACTTAGCTCAGTTTCCTTTGAAGATCCAGAGACTTGAAACTGAAAACTTTTATTAATGCCATTGTCTCCTTGTATCAGCAGGTTCCAGAGAGATTCCTGGAAGTGGCTCAGATCACATTACGAGAGTTTTTCAATGCCATTATCGCAGGCAAAGATGTTGATCCTTCCTGGAAGAAGGCCATATACAAGGTCATCTGTAAGCTGGACAGTGAAGTTCCTGAGATTTTCAAATCCCCAAACTGCCTCCAAGAGCTTCTTCATGAGTAGAGATTTTCAACCGCTATTTATGAATGTATTAAAAAAGTAGCAGACTCTCCCTTTTTTATGCCCAAGCTATGTGTGAATGTGTGTGTATGTGTTTCATATATGAAATCAGATCAGAATCCCTTGTGATTTATTATAAGTTTAGGTCAGTAATACGTGTATAATTATTTTAACTCCAGCTTTTGTTTTACTTTTGCCTGTGACTTTTAACATTTTGGGAAAAAACAGTATTGGGGCATTTTCTTCCCCTTCCGGTCCCTTTTCTTATCCCTTGAAAAGAAGAATGATTTGAAGTGTGTACAAACCTATCTATCTATCTATCTATCTATCTATCTATCTATCTATCTATCTTCTATCTATCACCTATCTACCGATCCATGCATCTATCTATCTATCTATCTATCTATCTATCTATCTATCTATCTATCTATCTATCTATCATCTATCTTACTATATATGGCTCATTACCTGGTTGATTTTTCCCCAGATGTTATGGTAAAATCCTACAGAAGGTGATGGCCCTTTGTTTGTATTAAAAGCTCTTAACCCTATGGGGAATTTTCACAGCTAAGGTTTCTAAATTTTTAGTTCAACTGCTTAATGAAGGAAGTGCACTTTTGTGTAACACTGTACAAGATATATAAATCCTCTTTTCCTTTCTCAACTGAGAGCAAAAGACATCATCTCTTCTAAGCTTTATGACTTTCCTTTTATGAGAACAATGTATGACCATATTTTGGCATCTTTTATTCTATTATAAGCATGTGTTCAAGCTTCTTGAGTCCTATTGTCATGTTTTGGGGAGAGTTATCTACCTACAATTTCTGTTGTTCGGAAGTTTGGGAAAACAACAGTAGTGGCAAGTTCTCTCAGAAGGTACCACATAGTTGAAATTATGCTCTATTCTGTTCTATGTTGGGCTCACCACATGTTAGAGGGACTGGATACAAAATAAAGTAGACTGGGGATGGAATTGGATGAACCCAAAATTCCAGAGTTGGAATGCCCTCATTTTTTGATGTTTGCCTCAGCTATATTTATCTAGCTATGTTTCCCTTTCTCTTCTTCAAGCAAGGCAATACTGTGTAAAGCAAATGAAGTCAAAATAATTTGTAGTTTGGCTAATACAATTCTGTAATATGCTCAGCTCCTTAACACAATAGCATTTCACTCTTCATAGAGTAAAAAAAGAAAAGTTGCTGCTGTATGGTCTTTGGTCATATTGGAGCATTTTAAATTATTTTATTGGTCATGAGAAAATGTTTCCTATTGAAATCTGTGGAATCCAAAAGGGGCAATCCCATGCACATGCATTTTGGGGACTAAGTCCAGAAGTTATTTCTAACCATATGTTTATAGGGTGACTATGATGATTGATGAATGTTTTATTTTGACTGAATTGTACCCTTTTACTTCATCACATTGAATAGTTGGGTCTGGGCCATCTTCTAAATAGCATTTGATACAAATGTATTCTTCCCCTTCTTCTCTGAAATCTTTACGTGATGTATATATTTGATATTTCATATTTTTACCTGAAACATGTTTTAACTACTTTTTCATCTGAAAAGCATTGTAAGGTATGTTTGCTTTATTCTCAAATTACTATGGCAAAAATGACATCATCTCAGAGTGCAAGAGTACTTTCAATATATTAGAAATGGAATAGAAACATTTTTATAGAAAATATTGTTTTAAGGAATAAACTAGGCACAATATATACTGAAAGCACAACTCTGGAGAAGAAAACTGTGCATACAGTTTTTAACTGTGTTTAACTGTGCTAACTAACTTTCTAAGTTTTGAGCACGCTTCATGAGAACTGGATTGCACCTAAACATTGTGCAGAATTTGTATTTCTGTCCCATTGGCTAGGAAAATAAACGCTAGTCACTTTATTCCTTCCTCAGATTTACATAATTCATAACCAATGAATAGAAGTAATTAAATACTTTCTGTTCTACAGCAAAAGTTTGCGCCAAACAAAACACGAGTGCAGTGCATAATGTATTAAAAATGGAGCTCTTCAGAGTTGTCCTGATATTTTCAAGATAATTTTTTTGCAACGAAGAGCCACTGAGTCCTACTTTTGGCATCTTTCAATAAAGCTAAACTCAACATGCCGAATGCAGAGCTGCTATTGAAAATTGCTAATATTTCCATACTTTCTATGATATTAATCTAATTGCATACTGAGACCACGATTGCTTACTGAGATCCCCACCAGCAGTTGATGACACATGGGCTGGCAAGCCCAAAACATCCTAATATCCAAACACAACAAGTTCTTTGCTGTTGATGGGAGGAGCTTATTTTAAGGCTGCCATTTTCAGCAAGGACAGAATATGTTTACTTCTTGTTGGATATGATTGTTGGTATTTACTGGACAAGAATGCTGATTGAAGTCCAAAATGGAATTTCGTCTCAAAATGACAAAAACAATGTTGATTTTTCAATGCAAAGCAGGAATAAGAGTGGTATGGATCTAGCTGAAATGAATTGCAACAATCTGTCTAATTCAAAAAAGAAGAAAATGTTCCCTGAATGTTTTTATGCTTTGTTCAGAGGTCTCTTTTTTTCCTTTTCACACTTTGGGAAAGTGGTAGTGTCTAGTAGAATTACCTACATGTTATGGCACTATGTGTTTGTTGTTTTCTGTGTCTTTTGTATAGATGCAGTAAGAATTTATTGTTATCTGGACTGGTATTTATCATTACCTCTTGTCTCCCCCAGGAAATTGAATCAGATTCAATCCTAACCAACTATGGTGGCAGTTTTACAGTTTAGCAGATAGCTTTCTTTAGGATCCTCCTTTTTTTCCTCCCTTTCTTGAAATTGCTTTTTAAAGAAAAACAAAACATAAATTGTATTTTGGCTTTGGAGAGTGAAAGTTTACCCCATATACATTATGATAATAAAAAAGCTGACCTAGTCATTGCAATGATGCTTCATTTATAAATATTGCTTGAGAGACAAAAATGATGAAAAGGGTTGACAGTAAAAAGCCTTAAAACCTGCTGATTTTTTTTTTTAAAAAATGAGGGCACAGGCCTTTGTTTAGTGACAGAAACACACAGGGTTTCTCAATATGCAGAATAGTAGTTTTCTTGGTGCAAAAGCTTTGCTGAAGCCAGCAAGATACACTAAAGCACACATTATGTTAAAGAAAAAGTCCAGTGGGTCTTTTCATATGTAATACTTCTAGCTAAAAAACAAAACATAGTTTATTGATCCAAGAATAGGTTCCCATATTTGCTTTTCTTCTTGAATGTTACTTTTGATATTTTTATTCTGATGTGCTCCCCAATATATCTGACATCCTTATGTCAGACATCCTATGGTTTAAAATCAGTTATTAAGTAGGATCTGAAATCATTATGGAACATAGTTTAAGATCCTAAATGTTAGTTAACTAACATTAAAAAACCATTCCTTGTCCCTGATATATACAAGGAACTTCATAGTTTGAATCAAATCAATCTAAATTACCAGAAGTAGTTTACAAAGAGAAAAGATTATGGGGAAACATATCTACCCTTTTGGGAGTTGCTATTTCAACCCATCTGGAGCCAATCCAACTTTTTTTAAAAATGGGGATGATTGTTATGATCATGTCCTTTTATTGTCTCATTTTGAAAGAAGTAGTTTAAAGCTTGCTTCTGCTAAAGATTTATGGAAAGGTACAGAGGCTTGAAAGAGAGACATTATCCTTACATTATTACAGAAAGCTCTTCAGCTCTCTCCATATTCAAAACAGCATGAAATTCTCTAGCAGTTCACTTTATTATCCTCCTACTGTATTATCCCCTTGGCCATGACCAAACATACCCAACTAAAGCCATACTTAATTTCTTAGACATCATTTTGAGGACTATACATTGTTAGTAACATTAGTGACGTAAACTTTAGCGCTGTTTGTCTTGAAATGAAATGTGATTCATTGAACTCAATGACCTTTTAAAACTTATGCCATTTATTTATTTGAAACATAGCTTATGGAAAAAGGAGAGCAAGTGACGCTTCAAAACGGTCATGGGGTGGGGAGAGTACCAAGCAAACCTTGATTTGCTTTTTTAAAAAGACCTTACCTGATTATTCCCCAGTTATTTAATTGTAATTTCATTGTTTTGTTAGTTGTGTTGCCTTTGTGCCTCCCAAAGCACATCAGATTGAGTGTGAAATATCAATTTTTCTTCTATTTTAAAGGATATTTTTTCATCCTCCCAATGATTTATTTTAGAATTTCATTTTTAAAGAATAAAATTATCACCCCATGCCATAGATTTCGTTGCCATGCTGAGACACTAGAGCAGCACAAGTTGCTGAAGTTGTTGTACTATGTCTCCTGTTCATTTAAAAAGAAGAAGAAAAGGAAAAAAAAAGAGAATAGCTTTATTAATTTGGAATTTGGAAGCATTCAGACCAACAATTCTATGAAGCAAAGCCCTGTAATTCGATTTCTCTAAGTATACCTCCTGGGAATTCTTGAGAGAGAATTGTGGCCACCTCATTTCCACGAATCTGACATGGATTTTTTTTAAAAAAAATTTATTTTTTGCATGAGTACTCTAATTTTTGATAACGCTGCACCTGATTACTGTTGATTTTGTAGCCAGGCTTTCCTTGATCAACTTCTAATGTCAGGACACTGCAGCAAATCTAAAACTGAGCCAAGTCCAGCAATAGTAATTATTCAAATTGTCCATAGAATATACTAAAAAATAAAAGATGGCAGCCATAGCAGTATAGTCAAAGCTCTGCTTGTTTATGTACAATGCAACACAGAGAAAAAATTAGTGGAGCTTTGATCACAACATTAAGACCATTATTTTGCCTTTATTGACCATTCCTGTGGACCTCCCTGTATTTATACCTTCAATCCCATTCCCCTCCCCCTTTTTTTGTTAGCAAAACTGGATGGGACTAGGTTAGAAAAGACAGAAGGTACTTTTAATATAGGAAAAAGAAATTGACATAGAGAAATTGATTTAAAACATTTTTTTTTAAAGACCTGGAAATTCTGTGCTGACATTCATTTTTCTCCTCTTTCCCTATTTTCCCTACTACAGAAGCTGGAGCTTAGAGTGTGTGCCTAGACCTTAAATGCACCAGCGGAAGGATTAGATAAAACAAATCCTTCAAATTACCAGTTATTCTCCCTTAACCAGTACAATTATTCTTGTGCCTTCTGTGGCTTACAATTTTCATATGTTTGGACCTTCCTTCCTTCACGCAATTCCCCAGATGCAATAAACACTGGTTTTCTCTCCACTTTTTTTCCAGCTGTTTAACACAATGTTGATAGCTATGCACATTTTGTGTCTTTTTAAAGAAAATTAAAAACAAAAGCAGGAGAATAAGTTTTTGAAGAAGATAATTTTTAGAACAGTTTGATACCGCAAATTATTTTTTCTCAATCGTTTGAGGAGCATTCAATTTTGAAAATTTCTTGTAGAAGCCAATTTTTTGTAACAGTGGTGCAGATCTTGTGTTTTCTTAGCCTAACAAACAGTAGTATAGGAGCAATATTTCATACGTATTATATATATGTGTATACATATACATACATATATAACAATATATACACCTGCTAATATATATATAAAGATATATATATGTATATATACCTATACACACACAATAAGCGTGTGAAGTGAAATGCTTACATTTTTCCAGTGTAGATTAAGAACCTATTTTAGACATTTGTTATGCTTTGTGAGAAGAATGTTCTATTTGAAGCTATAAAACACTTAATTCTTACTGTATCTCTGGTTGTGTAATGGGAACGCTTCACATTAAATGATTTTTAAAAAGTGAAAGATATTAGGATGTAATAATTATTTAAGGAAGTGTTCACCCATATATTCTTGAGGTTTGCTTTGTGCCTCTGAGTATTATTTAATTTAAAGTGTTTTAAGTTTGCAGAATCATTGTTACTGTACCGAGTATGTGGGTGAACAACGATAGCCAAGGGGAATTTTTTATAAAGCAATGTATATATTCAGCTTGAGGGCTCTTCTTGAACAAAAGGCATATGATTTTAATAACTACATTCTGAGAACATCTGTTAAATTTATAGGAATTGCTGCAGTAACTGCATAGATAGTTGAAAGCATTCTTTAAAACCCAGCTCAATACTTTTTAAAGATAGATTCCTCTCATCATGTATCCAGGAGAAGAGTGATCCACTTTCTGTAACGTTACAGAATTTTTTTCTATGTGCACAATGTAATTTATTGGCAATGGATTCCTTCCTACACAGGTTACTATTAAGTGAAAAGTAAAAGTGAAGATTTTGTGGCTTTAAATATAGGACTTTCACCAGCAGAACTGAAAGATATAAATATATATATATATAAAATATATATAAATAAATAATTATATATATATATATAAAAGTGGTTTGCAAATCCCCTCAAAGGAGCATTGTACATGAGAAGTAATTTTTTTTAATCCTCTTCTATTTGTCATGTGTATTATATAGTAATTATTGGTGTTTTAGTGCAAAGACTTCTTTTGGATATGTATTCTGTGTTTGGAAATTTTAATAAACATTGTTTTTAAAAAGCTCCCCTTAATGAATGTAACTGGTTTATATTAGTAAACAGTTACTCTATTGCACTTAAATGTTCTGTTGAAGGAAATACAGTTTTGTTGGTTATAAACCATTGAAAATATTAAGAGTTTGACCTGGGATATAAACTGTCATTTAACCTTTGAATCTTCTTAGGGCTAACTCTGTTTCAAACTATGAAAAGTGCAAAATCTTCAGCTATTTTCTCTACTCAGACAGCAAAAATGTCCAAGAAATATATGGTAAAATGTAGATAAGATGACAAGTTTAAATTTTGTTCCCAGTCTTTCTACTCTAGACTTTGTTAAGGCATTAATATAATACTGTAGAATTTATTTAAAAAATGTAAACACACATATACATTTTTATCAGGAAGATATTCATATTAATCTGAACTCAAGAATCAGAGAAATTCTGTACCTTTATAAACTGGAAGAATCAAAGGTTAAGGCATAAATATTGCTGTTGTCCCAGCTACTTCTCATATGTATATAGTTAAAAAAGTTACAAAACACTGCCTTTATATTATTTAGCAATATGTTGTAAATAGCATTATCAAAGTTCTTTTGTAATAAAAACCCTTTAATTTGAAGTTAGTACAATAACTGAATTAATGAATTCAATTTTTGGATTATTTTTAATTTTATTATTTAGATAGAGGCAATTTCAACTGTGGGGGAGTTTGTTGTTGTCTATTGTTCTGAAGACTTCGCATAATTTATTGGTTTAATTTATCCTAATTTATTTGATGGTGTACAATTTTGTATTGCCAAGGATGTACTGTAATATTAATTGATGATGTGATAAAACATGAAGACTCCCCTGTCTGTATGGAGGAAAAAAAAGGTGCAGTAGACAATTGACTGAAAAACTTACAATTCTAGCTTGGCAGCTACTAAATTGAAAAGAAATCAGGAAAAAATGTTTTTTTGGGGGGGAGGAGTTGGGGGAAAACTTTTTTTGTGTGTGTTTTAAGCTTTTGTATACTCTCCAGATCTTTACCTTTTTGCTTTGTACCACTTAAAGGATACAGTAGTTCAATTGCCTTGTGTGCCTTCCATCTTCTCTAAATTGAATGTATGTGCAGTATATATGCAAGCTTGTGCAAAATAAAATATAAATTACAAGCTCATTGCTCCTGGCTTATATTCTTACTAAAATTCTTTCTTATGAAGTACCAATGTGAAACTACTCAAAAGTTGCAGCAGAATTAAAAGATGCAGAAAGGGACTAAATTTTTAGTTACACATGCTCCAAAGGACTTTGCAGATTACTTCTGGAGACCGACACTGAATTTTCATATAAAATCCAATACAAAATTGAGCACATTTGATGTTCAAAAGCCTCAAATAGAATGTATTCTTTATGAATTACTGTGTGTGAACCCATCTGATAAAGTGTGGTTTATAAGAACTTTGTAGGAAGTCTTCTATTTGTAGTTTCTTCAGCAAGTCTTGAATAAAGAAAGTGTAGGCTTACAGTGATGGACAAATTCAATCTCTGACTGTATCTATCTGCCTCCCTACAGGACGTTCTGATCAATTGTTTGTTAATTGCAGAGGACTTTTAAAATTGCACATGAAATCAGAGTTAATAATGATGCCTGTCTCATGGGAAGTCCCCTTGGCTTCCCCTGTGGTCAGGATTTTGTAGGTTATGAACTATAAACTAACCCATGGATCCAGTGTAGCTTGGTAGATAGGTTTTTCTTACATGCTTACATGGACACATACATACATATATGCATACACACATATACCCAGACACATATTTAGCACACTTTTGGAGACAACTAAACCTCTTTTTAAGTACTGGTTTAGCCAATTACTGAAGAAAATCAGTAAACCTATATTAAAAAGGGAAAAGAAAACAAGAGTAGTGCTTTCCTGAGAGAATAATGCTGTTCTGACCTAGGCTTCCTGATATAGTAAAAAGCACACAATTAGTCCCCAAAACCCCCCTTTTTTAATTTTAACGGCTGTGAATTCCTTTCATTCACAGCACGTGCTGAATCACCAAAAGTTTATAAATATCCAACAGAAACCTGCCACAGTCCTTCGGATAAGGCTGGTAAACACCCACCTTTATCTTCTTTGACATGCTGCCAAAGACCCAATTGGCAATTATCTTGGCAAGGCCACATGAAAACACAGAGTCAAAAACGGAGCTTCAAAGTACAAACTGACACCATCCACAACGTTGCTTCCTGCAAAAGCCCACATGCCTTTGCTCTTCCTTTATGTCTTATGGCCAATCATCTCTAAGCCTTACTCCTGAGTTGTCCCTTTTGTTTTAACTGTTCTTGCCTTCTGGCAGCTCTGCGCATGTGCGCACTAAGAACAGGCTCCCCCTGTTCCTCTGTCTTTCTGATGTCCAACTCTGGAGGCTCCAGAGTCCACACATAACTCCCAGATGGCCCTGACCCTATCTCTGCTTCTGATGCAGAGCTCTCATCTAAGCCTTCCCCAGACTCCAGGACTGGCCCATGTTCCTCCCCAGTCTCCTCACTGTCCAACTCTGCTGCCAGCTCCACAGCCTGGCGGACCACAGCAGATGCCTTGTGCTACACTGTAGATCAATTAAAATAAGGTTTTTACCTCCTGTGTATTGCTAGAACCATCATCAGGGAGAGTGATGGGGAATTTCACATGCACAGACTTTTTCACTTTTTTGCTCCATTCTCTTGCAGTACTGCCTGGAGGAAGTCAGTTGTCTGTAAGACACTGTGTTTATTAATTGTTTGGGTAGCATAAAAATTCAATTAATAAACAATCACTGCCCTCTCTCCCTCCCCTGTTTCTCTGGCTTTCACTTGATCTATTTGAGGACATGGTTCCTACGTAGAAGAGTACTACTTTCATATTCAGAAACAATCAAGCTGTCAAGTTTGAGGCAGAGCTCACCTCTGTACCTATGACCTGTTAGCTGGGCATCTTGTCAGATGGTTTAAAACACAATTTCAAGTGACTAGCTACACTCACTCCTCTCCACCTCTCCACATATTAAGGGGAACAATTTGTAGCAGGTGGTGTTTAGTGAGAAAGAAATGAAGCCAGAAGATCCACTAATCATTTTTCTTAACTGGTCCCACATTCAAACAGTAAAAATAGCACCATTTGTTGGTCTTGTTACTAAGGGAAAAGTGGAATCAGCAATGAGGGAGGCAAGCACAATTTATGCTGACATAGTTTTCTGCCAAATCAAGGACTGGAGGATCGTGCTAACAGAGCCCTCTGGTTGTGCCCTAAGAGTGCTGAGATGTTTGGCAAATGAACAGTAGAGTCGCTCGGTGGCTTTGTTAACCAATGAAGAGTCATGGTAGATTCATCAGTTAAAATTACAACAGCAGTGGTGGAAGTAGTCATTACTGATTGATGGTAGACAGAATACAGAGGAACACTGATTTAAATCACCAGTGACCTAATATTGATGCACCCTACACAATTGTAATAGCAAAAACTGTTGACATCTTTCTTAACTATTCAATACTATGAATTCAATCATTTCTTGAACACATCGCCCAATGTTGCTGATTCATTCAATGAGCGAGCCACTTCAGAACTTCAGTTTCAAAATGCACTCCTTAAATGACTGATTGATTGATATGTACTCCTTAAATGATTGATCCCCTGAAAACTTCATCAATGGAACCCAGAGTTATAATAAGAAATCTTGAGAAGAGTTCAAGAAAAGCTGCTAGGGATTTCAGAGAGATGGTGGAATCTAAGAAGATTGTCTCCACCTTACTTTCTACAAACACAAACACAAAGAAGAAACTTTGGGATTCCTTGGTCTATAATTCCCTCTAGCTTTGAGGCCCAAATTTCTAGTTCACATGGGGTTTGTAGGCACATTACACAAGATAAGAAAGGCAGCCTTCAAGGAGTAATTGGAATACTCTTCTTAGTTTCTTTTTGAATAGGAATTATTGGGAAAAGGGCTCCATGCACATACTTGGAAAACATACATGTAGCCTAGGAAAGATTTTCCCAAGTTCAGAGGAGTACAATAGGATGTACTGGGACAATGTGCATAAATAATAATGTGCATTAAAATTAAAATGTCTATATGACACCATTAAAATTAGATGTCTATATGACACCACATTTTAAACAATTCCAAGCAGTTTATAATAACCCAAAACACATTAAATGATTCCAGTTGGGGTTAGAATTCCAATCATAGGACATATACAAATATTTACCACTGCCTGATTCAAGACGATGGCATGCAGCGACCTTTCTGTGGGCACATGAGCCATCGCCCCAGCTCAGCTCCGCTGCCCATGTGTGCATGCCTCCTGCTGGCCAGTTGGTCTTCGGGTCTCTGCTGCACATGCACAGTGGGTGGGGCACACATGGGGGTGTATGCATATGCGTTGGGGTGGGGTGCATGTGGGGTGTACGCAGATACACAGGGTAGGGTGCATGTGGGGGCATGTGTGCATGCACAGGGGTGGGGTGCATGTGTGGGGGCCACGCATGCATGCACAGGGGTGGGTCTCCCATGGGTGCATTGCATTTTAGGGGTTCATGTGCGCTTTGGGCACTCAGTCCAGAAAAGGTTAGCCATCATTGTTCTAGAGGCTTGGGATATAGAATCCATGCTTGATTCTTATCAAAAAAGCACCTTTTCAAAGCACCTTTTCTATAAGAATCCAGTAGCTAACTATTTGAAGAATATTCTATCCCAACCTCATCTGCCATTTTGATTTCCATTTGGACAACATGTCAACATGTCATGGCTATCGTACAACATACGTGTTTTTCTCTTTTGTACTTAATGTGAATTCAAAAGGTAGTAAAAAGAAATCTTGTTCCTATTTGAATAAAATATTTAGAATTTAGGCATCAATACTATTTGTTTTCAGTGGTCTTTGAGGATCATTCTGGTTGCATCGACTGTTGATTTTTACAAATGCATGCTTGCCCTAGGAAAATGTTTATGCTGAAAAAAAAATGCATTTTTAGATCCAATACAAATGGCCTGTTTTCCTTTGTAACAGGCACAACAAATGGGCAGCTGGGGGAGGTGACAAGGGAGAACACTTGATGGGGAAAATCTTGTGGCAACAGTGGCCAGTTTCATTATAGCCTTGCCAGGCTATGAAACAACTCTTGGGGCCTGAAAATCCTATTGCCTATTAAAACTGGGCATGACCGTTCTTTTTTATGCTTCGCCAGCCAGAGATAGAACTGGATCCTGGGGGAAATAAGGAAAAATATTTATTACAAGTGTTTAACACCTTTTAGTACAAACAGCTATCGTCAGTGATAATTTTCTGCCAGCATGTTGCAAAAGCCAAAGGGAATTTTTTTATACATCTAATAATTGTCAGAAGAAGAGAGACCAATCTTATCCCCAATCTTAATCAAACCAAATCCATATTGTCTGAGCAAAAGCATCTGGATTCTTGTGGTCGTCTTTTTTTTTTTTGGCTCCAATTTGCCCGTCTCCCTTCTCTCCTCTTATCTTATCTTAAAAGAAACTTATTTAGAATTGCAAGACAAGCTACTCCTGAGATTCAGAGCAAGTTAAAAGCAGAAGGTGGGGTACCAAAATAATAGATAAATTGGGGCCTATAAAAGTCATACTCAAGCATCTGGAAGGGAACACGTTTTCAGTTTGGAATGGAGAAAGAAAGCAAAAGTTTTTTCTTTATTCTTTCTCTTATCAGAACCCACATACTAAGAGAAGGCTGGATAGCAGACAGCAATAACCTTGAAAGAAAGCTCAGATGAAGAGCTTCTGTGGATCAGCAAAAGGCTCCTGCCAGGCTTTCAGGTTGTACTTTCAGGGGGTGCTGCAGTTGGCTCGTATGTCTCATGAGAGCCGATCCATTAGATAGTCAGAAAAGTTGTGAGCCAGTGGAGAGCAGAGCTGAGCTGCAACACCAAATGCATCGATCAGCTGTTTGGGAGCAGCAAAGGAGCTAGCAGAGCAGTTATGCATTTTTCAGGGCACCACTAGTTGCATTTATAACAATTTTTGCTGGCTAATGTTTCATCTTAGACAGTATTCATTCTGAGTGCCCTATCAGTTGAAAGATAGGGTATGTTCTGAAATAATGTCTTCTTTTTGAAAAGGCTGGGATCAAATTGTCTACCATATCTCTTCAATAAGTTACGAAGA